CACTGTTTGTTTTCTATAGAGGGTGATTGAGCTAGCTCAGATGGGTACAACTGAGTGATGGTAGCTCTTTGAAGGTGGATTGGTATATTTATTCCCGAATGAAAGCCAACTCCCAGGCGCGCTCGCACTGCAGTGTGATCGGAATCAATTTGCTTGCCGGAAATGAAATGGTATTCTTGAGTTGTGGCTGTGTTCCCGCGGCCTAGAGCTACGTAATCCATTTGGGTCCATGCCCAGTAAACACGTCAACGCGGCACCACCGGTGGCAAGAGGTGGCAAATAAGGGTGGCATGTTACACTTGCCATCGATGGCGCCACCGGTGGCTAAAAGCGGCCAGAGGTGGTAACCCATAAATTTCATGATATATTTAATTAGTGGTGCATTCAAACAAATCGGTTTTAAAAATTACTTCGTAAATAGAGCTCCAGTATCCAGAGTATCCTGTCACATTTGTTTTCAGAAGGCTTTTATGCAATAAATGCTATATTTGGCTTATATTCACCAACGGAATCGGTGGCAAAGCTAGCCACCTTTGGCCACCGTTAGCGACCGGTGGCAGTGTTTACTGGGTGACTGAGTCGCACTTATAAGTGCAACTTGAGCGTTTGCTGAAAATTACTACTGGCCAGGAACAGTTTGTCGTCAACCTACGACCGAAGAAGTCGTTTCTCGTTGTCTGCGCAAAAAGCATCGGCTCCGAATCGACTGTCCAGATGTAATTTCAAGGTACACAGCCGACCGAGTTGGATGTTCAAATCGTTCGCAAGGATCACAATGTCAGTGCTTGTCGCTTGGCTACTGAACCCGAGTAACTCTATTAGAAGTTCCCCTCCCAGGGTAACGGCTACAGTGTATTGTGGCACATACCGGCACTAAAAACAGGCACCGTATTTTACGTCGGGTGGTATCGTACGTGCTTGAGCTGGATAACCGACTGGTGCAAAGACGACTTCAATTGAACAGTTCAGCAAAGTGCGTTCAGCTTTGGCGCTGAATACACCCCTCACGCCATATATTCTCCGAGTTACCACTGGGAAGTTAAAATGTGAAGAAGCTGAGTTCTTCATCAACGTTTGGAGGTGCGTGTTTCAGAGACACAACATACATCAAATTTAAAACAATATATGATTAAGGCGAAGACCACCTGTTTGCTAATTTGACATAAATTAGGGCGTTAAAAGCGCCTATGTAGAAATCACCTCAAAAATATGACCCACAGTGCAATGCGAGAATGTCGGGTTTTGCTCGGGATCCTGTTCCGAGTCTCTCAAAAGTCTGAACTGTGGGGAAGCGGTTGGGAGGAGTTCCCGGGGCGGTCCTTCTGGTTTCCTTGGCCGAAGTGGTTAGAGCGCGGATTACTAACCTGAAGGTCCGCGGTTCGAATCCGACCTCCGCCACTCGACTTCCCCTGTCTAGGCTTGGGCAACCTGGCAGTATCCCAGCCCTCGTGCTTCCTTCGGGTGGCATGGCAGCTAGGCACCGGAAGGGTGCTACAGCTGAACGCTTTTTTTTCTTTTTGCTGCCCATTGGCCTTCCTAGCCTAGTTGAACTTTTAGGAACTGAGTTCCAGCCAATATAACCCGCAGGATCACTGCGTAACAAAAGCCCTACCACCACGACAAGGTGGCATCTTTAGGTCGCCCGAACAGCAGGTTAGTTTCGTTAGGGCATTGGGTGCTTAAGCCCGATCACCGCCTACAGCAAATTTCTTCCCTCTCCAAACTCCCAAGAAGGCAACATATGCTCACTGTGGGCTAAATTCGCTCACCGGACGATTTTCGCTAAGTGCGGACTGAATGCAAAAATGGAGGCATTACGTTCGGACTTCCCCGAACCCGGTGCCAAGCTTGGGCAACCTGGCAGTATTCCAGCCCTCGTGCTTCCTTCGGGTGTCATAGCAGCTAGGCTCCGAAAGGGTGTCATAGCTGGACAATTGTTTTAGTGTCGGGTTACCCAAGCCTAGACAGAAACAGTTGATATGCAAAGGCCAGGTTCGAACCACGCACCTGCCTTAATCACTGAGCCACCTCGTATGTGGGTTGAGATACTACTGGGACACCAAAACCTAGACAATAAGATTATTGAAGCCCTTGATCAGAGTCATTGGTCCAAAAGCCTGACTGTAGGACAACGAAGGTTGGCGTGAAGCTGCCAGAGTAGTGCAAACTTTAAGATACAAGTCACCAGACATGTTTCGATCCCCAACCTGGAGGGTCGGGAGACTTTTAGTCTAACTTCTATCCATAGGCCAACCTTGTATGAAAGACTGTGGATGTCGCACGGGCAAGCATCATTATAGTTCAGTGAGTTACAAAGGTACACAAGTTGTCACATTATGGGGAGGCCTGGTCTTTTCGTGATTGTTCGACCTTTCCACCAACACAAAATGATTCACTGAACCTCTGACCCCTTCGTGAAATCTCCGGTCAGTCTGCTCGAGCAAGATGCTGCTTAGAATATGACACGAATGAAAGCTAACCGCAATTACGTACCCACAGCTAACCATTTTCAAACCAATTTGACCAGCGGTTGCCAAATTTAAAACAGCAGTAATCTAATGTTTTTTCCTTCGCTTTTTCAGGTTTTATGGGCACAACTTGTGGGTGAGCCAGACCTGTTCTCGATAAGCCCACAGATTAGTTGCCCTTTTGGTTGGAGTTTTCGGTCCGGCAGTTGTTAGCGGCCGTCGCGACTGATTTTATTCTCGAACTCCTGCTGATGAGAGGCTGATACTTCTCCCTCTTTTATGAAAAACTTTAGTCATGGTGGGTGATGACGGACGCCGCTTTCTTGCCGGCTCTTTGTCAGGTTTTAGTGTACGCTTCCTCACTCAACCCTTTGATGTTCTGAAAATTCGATTCCAGGTAAGCGATTCCACAAACACTGGTCACCAACTAAGCTCCAAGTAGAACCAATCAAGCGCTTGTCTCCGGCAAGCTACTATTCAAGTCTCCCACAGGCCTTCTGTCGGATCTTTCGAGAGGAAGGGATTTATGGACTTTGGAAAGGGCACGTGCCGGGACAGTTACTCTCTGTCACCTTCTGTGGAGTTGAGGTGAGTTGGGCTTTCTAGTTCTATGAACTCCCCCATGAATCCCCATTTTTAGACAAGAACCACTCGTCGGTCTTGCATGCTCATTGCTTTCTGCTTAATACACGGTCTTGTTGCGTACCATCTATTCATGATGAACTTTACTTGGTGCTGTTACTTTTCACCCGCCTTTTCGAAGCTTTCTGTTAGGTAAACCCTTGTAAATTGGTAGTGCTACAGCTCACACCATCGTAGAGGTTATGCGTGACGTTGCTCACAAGTTTATCCATCTCCTTCCAGTTTGCTGTGTTTTATGGCCTTAAGGCACTACCAGCTACGTCATTTGGATACCTTCAGACCCACGTGCATCGTGATTTAATATATGGCACGGCTGCAGGCACCATCGCAACGACGTTCTGCCAACCGCTGGACGTCATGCGAACCCGGTTGGTGGCACAGGGGCAGAAGCGAGTAAGTAACGCCAATAGATTTTGGCGCAGATTTCCGTTATTCTAACTCCACACGTTCTAGCGTATTTTGTGAGGATGTAAATAATAGTCGTTCTTTCGGTACGCATTAAAATGAGCAACTTACTGGAAAGCCATCCAGCCACCGGCTGATGAGCCTGGTATGCGTGTGATTGGCTGCTGACTTGATCTGGTTACTTAACTTGTGATTAGTCCGACCGTTTATCCTGATTATTTAATATGCATTGCCAGGCTTTGGAACTGGAATTTCACTAGATGCTGAACCTGGTAGTCTCTGACTACTTTAACCAATCTATAACAAGATATTCTTCCCAAATGTAACCTACCATTTAGGTGCCAGGTTATGTAAGGGTTAGGACGTGAGCTGCTGACCCTTCCTATACGCGAGCAACCTTGAGGTATCCCATCCTTGGTGCATGGCAGCTGTGCACCAAAAATACACTGACCGAGATGTCCATAATTCAGGTCTTTCAATTTTCCCTCCGTATACGCGAGCAACCTTGAGGTATCCATCCGTGTTGCATGGCAGCTGTGCACCAAAAATACTCCAGCTGAAAGATTATTTGGCTTATTGAGCTCGAGGGTAATGAACACTCGTGACAGGACAAAGTCGCGGTCCGTGTAAATCCATGCCCTCAGATTTGCAAAGAAATCTATCCCTCTAGCGCTGATCTTTCTATCTGTACTCTGTAGCTCTTTGGGTCTTCTACCGCAGCTTGTGAGGTGTTTCTGCCGACGCTTTCGAAGTGAGTTTTTCTGTCGCGGCAACTCTTTCGGTCAGGCGAATGAACACACAGTTTTCTGTGAACCATCTATTGATGTATTGCTACACGTTTGCGGTTAGGCATTTGGAAGTCAATACAGTGAAACTTCCGTATAACAGATATTATTAGAATGAATATCCTGTACTCGTGGACTCTTTGGTGATCACGAAGTTTGTAATACTTGGGCGAAACTCCAGACCTGTCAAATATCTTTTGTTCAATATTGCTAATCTTGCGTGAATCACTTCCAAAGCTAAGATGGTCATTTAATTTATGCGAGGACCAATGTAGTGTCTGCCTTCGAAGTTGATAATCTCACCTGGGGGGACTGTCATCACTGCGTTTTTCTGCTGAAAAGTCACTCGAGGAGTCTCATTGTAGGATTACATGGTGTGAACCGCATAGTCACATGATTTAAACGATCCATATCGTCCGAATGCAAGTAAACCACACCGCTGATCAGCCAATCGTGGCCGACTGGTGTTAGGCGGAAGGTTGCGGGTTCAAATGTTAATAGACTCGTGTGATCTGACTATTGCTGGCTATGCTGGGTAATGAAACTCTTGGATAAAATATACTGAAGTCTTCACAATATCGCAGTAGAGGCTCCTAATCACAAACAAGACTGGATTTTGTCTGTTCGTTATTTTTCACTAATTTAGCATCCATCCATAGCATCCAAATGCACGTAAATAGAAGTCGCTTTAAATTACCGTCTGGAGCAACGGTATACCAAGCACTTTGTTTCAAGAAGCCGAACGTCCGACATTAGACGATATGTGTTTATAGACGGAAGTTCTCTGTTAAACAATTACGGTTTCATGAAAGCTTGCGCACACTTGTCCATCCGGCGAGACACAAAACAACAAGGTCAATAATGATGTCACTTGGTCCACCGAAACTACCGCGGAAAAGGTGTGAGAAATCACGGTTTCGAAACAATCTTAGTTTTTAGAGATTGGGGATTTTTTGGTGGAGATTTCGTCCTGTAGGCGTAGCCAATCTGTGCTGAAAAGCCGAAAAACACTGTACGGCTGTTTCATCCTTATTGAGAATCATCATCAGTACAGAGCATGTGAATCTCAAGGGAGATTCTTTCAGAGACACTCTTGGTAACAAGTCGCGAACTAAACCTTTTGGCCAAATCTCTGGATATTAGTGAGATGGACAGTGCTGACGGTGAACAATGGGAATCAAATGACTGTGCAATACTTTTCAGCTTTCTGAACTAGGCTATGTTCACTTACAGGGAGAAACCTTGATTGTTTCATTCCAATAAACGAACATCAACCAGAATCGAATATGTAAATACTGGAACCAATGTTCACATAAAGTACTCACGTGTGGAGTTTTTCTGCTGCAATCTGAAGAGTACACCCCTTCAAACCTGTAATCATCGATGCCGCGGATGCAAATAGTTTCTTCAAACGTTGCTGTGTACTTTATTTTCTGTTCTGTGTCTCTCTAAATACGAGAAATGAACGCCACAACCTGAAATGGACTTACCTCGATAGTACCATCCTTTACATCAACTACGTTAAACAGTTGACCTGATTGACGCATTAGTTGATGGAAGAGTTCCCAAGCCTTTCTAAGCGTTCGCTTGAAACTGACTGTTTCATATTCTGATGGTTTCAAGAGACGTTCCGGAATCGGCTCCATGATCGGGCTGCATCCAGTTAGTCTCAGCACTCTGTGAGAAATTCCACTTAATTCTTGGACGATTTCCGCCAAACATTTTACTTTATCCTGCGTTGAATAAAAAAGGATGGAGGTATTTTAGCCAAATTCAAGAACATAAGCATTCATCATGATACATTTATCCTACACATCACGGCCATAGCTTAGTAAGTTGCTCAGTATTGTCAACCAATTTCCGAGGCTTAGTAATCATTTATTCGCGAGTACACTTGGTGTAACATTAACCCTTAAATAAGTTCTACTGAGTCTTGAACCCGTGGCCTCGGCCAGTTTGGCCACGAATGGCTGCTCATTATTGTGATTAACTCGCACTTGGTTTATACAACCGCTCATCCTTCAATAACGAAATCCGCATAACATTTTGAAGATTTTACGGACTGTTCTGTTACGTCCGTCATAACCATCCATAATCAGAAATTTTCAATAAATTCCATTCCCGTTCCTGCCCTCTGCACAGCTGCTTCAGTAGAACCCGTCAGCGGAATAGTTGACACAGACCCAGTAACTTGTTCACCGTTCAAACAAAAAGGATAGTGAGGCGAACATGGATCACAGAGTTCTTCCACTCAGCTTATTCTGCTATGTTTCCCAAACTCTGCACTGATGAAGCAGTTATTGAACTCCTATCTCAACAACCAATGAAGTAGGTTAGTTTCGTGTGCTCGGTACTTCTCCCCACAAACAAGTGGAGTTTGTTCGTGGATTCCGGAGGAAGTAACTTGATGTGCTCGTTCCTCAGAACAAATGCAGCATAGCCTTTAGCGCTGTTTGACTTGAACCGTTCCATAAATTGAGATTACGTTCTGATGAACAAAACCCTGAGTATAGTAAAGGTACACGCCATATTCAGGACTCGAACTCAGGATTCTACTTGTTATTGTTGCCTTGCTAGCTGCGCTCTTTCTCTTCGTGTCTCATTTGTTAACCTATGTCCAATGTGGAAGCCCCGCGGTGGAATGACTACCGATAGCAACAGACGCCAACTGTTGAGGTATGTGCGGCTTCCGTTACCGCAATCCTGCGGTAAGTGAGAGAACATGGATCGGACTCCCCAGACGCATATTTTTTTCGTCTGCTTCTTGTTTCTAAGGCCCCTATACAAGGCGTTCAGATTCTCGTCTCGTTTGCCGAATGTTCCACTCTGGTCCTGTTGCCTTCAGAAAGCTCGAACACACTAAGCAACTCATGCCTCTTAGGGGAAGTGTACACAAGCTTATATACTCGACTACAATCGTGCATTTTCCATCCTCATCGAAGTTAACCTCCCAAGGTCAAAAGCCAAGAATAACTAGAACCCCTCATGAGTGGCACAGATCAGATTTATCATTCGTTTCCCCTTGTTCACCGCATTCCTACCAGTACCGTCACAAGGAGCTGAAGCCTGATGAACAAAACCCTGAGTATAGTAAAGGTACACGCCATATTCAGGACTCGAACTCAGGATTCTACTTGTTATTGTTGCCTTGCTAGCTGCGCTCTTTCTCTTCGTGTCTCATTTGTTAACCTATGTCCAATGTGGAAGCCCCGCGGTGGAATGACTACCGATAGCAACAGACGCCAACTGTTGAGGTATGTGCGGCTTCCGTTACCGCAATCCTGCGGTAAGTGAGAGAACATGGATTGGACTCCCCAGGCGCATATTTTTTCCGTCTGCTTCTTGTTTCTAAGGTTCCTATACAAGGCATTCAGATTCCCGTCTCGTTTGCCGAATGTTCCACTCTGGTCCTGTTGCCTTCAGAAAGCTCGAACACACTAAGCAACTCATGCCTCTTAGGGGAAGTGTACACAAGCTTATATACTCGACTACAATCGTGCATTTTCCATCCTCATCGAAGTTAACCTCCCAAGGTCAAAAGCCAAGAATAACTAGAACCCCTCATGAGTGGCACAGATCAGATTTATCATTCGTTTCCCCTTGTTCACCGCATTCCTACCAGTACCGTCACAAGGAGCTGAAGCGCCGTGTCCAGCATAGATATACACAGCTAATAAAACCTCTTTGGAAACACCTTCAATAAGCACGATAGTATGTCATCACCGGTGCGTTGAGTATTTGTCGTCTGCACTGAAAAGCGGTATTTAAGAAATTTCGACTGAAAACCTCGCCTTTGGTGAAATTTTTTGGAGTGCAAGTAGCGCGACGCTGTGAAAAAGGGGCATCCTGCACGCCACAGTTTTTTGAATCGTTCCTCATGCATTGAACGGCTGCGGTGGTTCCCAACCATGCTCGTGGTGATAATCTTCCAGTTGTTGCACCCAGCCTGGTACCTCCACCCGACTGTCTTGGGGGCTGCAAACAAGGGAAATATGGCTTTTGTCTTTTGGATTGCTAACTGGGATTTCAAGCAAACGTTTCGTCGTCAGTCGAAAACCTGTCATGCGTTTGCCGTTGAATGTGGGGGCGAGATGGCCCAAGTGGTTTGAGCGCGAATTTATTGACCGGAAGGTCCGTGGTTCGAATCCGACCTCCGCCTCTCGACTTCCCCTGTCTAGGCTTGGGCAACCTGGCAGTATCCCAGCCCTCGGCTTCGGCTGGCATGGCAGCTAGGCACCGGAAGGGTGCTACAGCTGAACGCCTTTTTTCGTTGAATGTGACACTACACTCCTTGTTGCCTTCTTTTACACAGCGTTTCTTGTGTCTGGTTAGTTTGTTGCTTTTCTCCCGCGCCCCCTATCTGGCGAATCGATCGTTACTCAAACGGCATTTTTGACTTCCAAATATCTCTAAGCGTGGTTAATACCTTGTAATTTTCTCTCTGTGTACTTGCTTCAGGTGTACTCCGGTCTAGTCATGGGATTGTTAAAATTGGTTCGCAATGAAGGAGTTTTCGCGTTGTGGCGTGGACTCGGGCCGTCCTGTATGCTGATCGTACCACAAACTGCTGTCACGTTTGCCGCGTACGAGCAGCTCAAACGGACTTACCAGAAGCATATAGTGGACACTACTCGGAGCAGTGTGAATGCCTCTTCACCAGGTGCGAGCTGTTGTTTGTTTACGGATTACATTGAATTTTCGTCCTGAGGGTTGTATTGATTCAGCCAGCACCTTTGACGCCGCAGCCGCATTAGTCTATCGTTCGAGGGCGAGTTTACAATGCTGCATTGCGCTCCATGTTAGTATACGGGTCAGAAACCTGGTAGTCGCGCACTTAGGACGTCAAAAGGCTCTCAGTGTTGGACGATTGATGTTTCCGGAGCATTGTCAGATTCTGGCGAGAACACCGGATCAGTAATGCTAAAGTATGTCGAATGGTTTTCGTAAGAAAC